CAATTAAAACTCGAATTTTATTAAAAAAAATAATTAATCTTATCACTGGTATTGACACCACCAAAGCATAATATAAACACTACGTAATCATCTAAATAACTTTGAATGTTCGTTTTCTGCCATTGATGAATTTTTTTTAACTGTTTTGATTGATGAACGGGTCGGTAAAGTACCCAAGCTATATAGCCTATACTCAAATGTGCAGTTAAAGTTAAAACCCATATCGCTCTTTGTGACGAAGGGCTGAAAACACAAAATGACTGCCTCGCTGCGGTAAATTTATTCACACAAGCCATGACCGCAAAAATCAACCGGACATCACATCATCTCTGCAGTTAAAACTTTTCTGCTTTTGAGCTATTGGTGGAACGGGGAACCTTGAGCTCGAGCTTCCATACTCCAAAACTGAATCCATCTTCCTACTGACAGCTAAGTAATAACTTCTCCCCCGTGAAAGATCTGTAATACTGGTGTCTTGATACTGAATCACACTCGCTGCCTGTTAGAACCCGTATGTGCTATCTGATGTTCTTTATAACAACTCTCGGTTTCACCTTCTTCGCCGGATGCTAGGAGGGATGATCCCGTTCAGGGTTTGAAGCCTTCATTAACACGAATTTCCACATCTGAGGTGACTTCCAAGGGGTTAGTCTCTGACATTTCTAAACCAAGAGTTCGACTACTGAATTCTCCATCGAGAATTACAGCTGCTCTCCTTCTTAGGAAGATGGCAGTTCCCCAATATGGAATCTCAAGCCCCCACACAGCAATCTCATAGCACCAAAAGAAGGGCAAAGAGCAGCTGCTCCCGAGAGTGAGGAGGCTTGAACCAAAAAACAAAGCGAGAACGCCAAAGATGATGGCAAAAACTGCATTCAAAATAAACAGGTAGCGAATTCCACCTGCAGATTTCATATGGCAGTTCAACATCCATTAAGTTTATAAAATTTACGCGTTCTCATATGAAAAACAGCAAAATATAAACAACGAAGAAATCAGCAAAGAGTAATGGAAGTATATTCAAGCAGCTAATTGTGTTAATAGCTTTATAGCCAAATTCAGTAATATAATTTCACCATCTTTATTTTGCAGTTAAGAAGTTTACTTTATAACTCCAAGTTCAACAAGTGAGAAAACTATTTCTCAGAAACTATAACAAAATATGAAAGGACCAAAGTTCCAAGACAAAGAAGAAATCGAGAAAAAGAAATGAGAAACAGCGCATACATCTTTTCGAAGCACAATAATCATTCTCAATCACCTTCAAACATCCATGCCTATCAGGAGCAGAATAAGCAACAGCAATTCCTGAATCATGATTAAAGCCATTAGAGAGTGAAACAGCAGAAACGCATAGTCATTTCAAGATAGCACATCAATAAGCCAGGATACATAAAATAAAAGGAAAAATGACAAGGAAAATTAACACATTCAAGAAATTCAAAGACCCAACATCAAAGCGACTCCCAAAAAGGTTCAGCTTTAGATAAACCAGCATATGACATCAAGCAAAAGAAACAGTGGCATTACTAAAGCAAACATAAATTATCAAAACAACATGCATAGAAGTAAATTACAAATTCAAGTTTCAACATTCTCCAGGACGTTTTAACATTGTATAACAAGAAAAAGTTCAATATTACAAGACCAGACACAGGTTAACCAGTATTCATGCAAAGCATATACCATAGAAGCAATGACTAATGCAAGAAGCTATCCAAATTGGCACAGATGATGTAAATTAACCATTTACCAAAGGGAGGCTACCTTTTACCAATTAGAGATTCAATGCTAGCCAAGTATCAATTTATTTCAAGAATACTAAACCGGACAACCAATAAGATCCTCCCATTCCATTGAGCAGGTCAAATGAGAAGCTTAATTTCCATACCATTGCCTAACAAATACATTACATCTACATTCCCACTCCATTTGTAACTACAGGGAAGACATCATCAAATTTCATATCCATGATACCATTACCATCTACATTCTCTAGTCAAAATTTCCAGACACTGGATAACAACAAAGAGAGAACTATATAGCCTCTCCAATTCAAGATTCAAAGCCAATCTTCGTCTTTGCCTTTTTACAATGCGCAACTCTGTAATAGAGCTTAATAGTAAGCTAAAATTCACTCGAATGAAAAGAAACACAAATAATAGGGTTTTGACTAACCGGCCACGAGATATGCAGCCGACGCTAAGAAAATGACCATAGATGGAACGAACAAAACCATCCAATAGTAATCCACAGTTTCTTGATCAGTCGAATAAAATGCTCCGGGGAACAGATATGAATCGCCAGTGACTCCTCCTTTCACGTTCAACGGCAAATACTGCAGTCTCCACTCTCCAGTCGAGGCAAAATGGTCGCTTCAAAACATCATCCGGAAACACAATCTTCAAGCTTATGATAGTGCAAGCAAGACAACGAGGCAAATGATCCCTATGGAACTTATTAAGATCTGTCTTTGTAGCCTCATCCAAACTTTGTCTTCCTCCCGTAGGCTCTCGTACTTGTGCTCCGCCATAAACGCTTGCCGTAGCCCGTAGTTCGTCACCTATATTCGCCATGGAATCTTTTCATTGAGGGCCCTACCTCAGTAGGAATTCAAAATTAGGATACTTTGATTAAGGGTTATATTAATATGTAGGTATTTCCTCAAACAGTGAGAAGTATAAAGTTTAGGGGATCAGTTTAGAACAGGCTGATTGCAGTGTATTCTTGAATTTGAAAAAAAGAATTTCTTTTAAATTTTATTTTATATAAAATGATATTAAAACAAAATTCATATAATTTAAAAAATATTAATATCACTTTAAAGATTATTATATATTATTTTTCAAAATAATATTATCTATTATTTTTCTAAATTATAATATTTTAAATATTTTTACATAAATTTTATATAAAATATAATTTACTATCACATAAGATCGCGACAATTCGATATATATAAAAGATTATTCATGTGAATTTTTTCTTTTTATATAATCAAAAGTATCTGATTTATTGATTAATTAATTTAAATTAGGTATTGTAAAGGCAAAGTCGATCCTTTAAACCCATTTGTTTCGTATGCAAATATTAGTATTTGAAATTAACCCCTTAACATTACTTAAAAAATCTAGTGTCTTATCTCACTAAACCAATTAGTTGTTAGTTGATCATGTGAATTTTTTCATTTCAACTAATAATATATATATATATATTAAAATAATACATAAAATAAAAGTATATTATATTAAATGTATCTGTTAACTGTTGACGAAATATATATTTATTTTAATTATAAAAATAAATATTATGCTAATAATTTATATATATATTAAAATATTACATAAAATAAAAGTATATTATATTAAAAGTATCTGTTAGCTATTGACGAAATATATTTTTATTTTAATTATAAAAATAAATATTATTTTCGTAAATAACAATCACCCATTAATTTACTCAAGAATTTTAAGTTGCAGCTTACTAGAAAACCGATCTGTCTTGTAATTGGTCGGTGAAGAAAGAGCGGGAATAGTTCTTTCAAAGTTCGCTATGCCTAAAACGACGACGTGCGTCAGCACAAATCGCCCGCACGAAATACCAGGTCCAGTTAACGGTAAAAACCGTTCAATGTAAGTGGTTAGCAAAATTATCGGAATCTACAAATTGACATGTGTACAGGTAAAAAACGTGGTTAATTATGATTGGTCTTTCCTTTTCCAAATAATTAAAAAGCTTTAAAAAAGAGGGGGGAAATGAAAAATCTGTTATCAAACAGAAGAAAAGTAATCTCATATAGGGAGAGAGAGAGGGTGAGAAAAGCAAGAGGGAAGAGAGAGACGGAGAGAAATAGAACTGCCGATTTTGTACTGTTCGATTTATTTTACATTAAGAAAGTGTTGTCGAAGGACTCTCCGGATTATTCTGCATTTCGTTGCGATCTCTCCAAGCAGTGACTGGCATCGAATTCTTTCTTTTTCTTTGTGAGCGAAGATGGTGAACTCTATGGTGGAGGGAGCAACGAGCGACTTGCTGGCCGGTCCTGATTGGGCTAGGAATATCGAGATCTGCGATACGCTTAATAACGAACCCGGGTATGCGCTGCACTGGAATCCAATCTATCTCGTTTCTTTTTAAGAAGTCGTTATACTTATTGCTCATATGATTCAATGGATGACCGCTTTCGATTTTATCATAAATAGTGTAACCGAAGATTGTGAATTTTGCGTTCTTTCTTGTTTCCGTACACGATGTAATTTTTAACTGCATTTCTTAATATTTCGCTGCTAACTGGATAAATTTCTTTTATCGCATGTAAATTTAGACAAAGAGAATAGGCTTAGTAAGCTTATCAGGGTTGATCTGTTAGCTTTTGTATTTTTCTTTGTTCAATCTGTAATTTAATTCGTGGACGTATGTTATAACACTGCTCTTAAAGATGGATATAGTTTCATGCCGAAATAGACTGGTGTTTTAGACTCGGCTATTTTTCTCCAAGTTAAAAGATTACCATGTGCTCTATGATTTTGTTGACTGTGACTTGATCATCCTAATAATTTATCAGATGCGAACTAGATTTTATTTACTTTCACATGACCAGCGTAATGGTTTGTCATTTTATCTTGTTGTTAGTTTACGTGTTCAAGTTGAGTTTTATGCTAGTGTTTTTCTATATTATTACTGGTAATTCTTTCGGGGGTGACTTTTAGTTAATGTAAATTATTTGCTGGTTATTTGATTAATATTGGTTTTCTTTTCCAATTCTCAGTGAGGTTTGAATCTAGCTGGTTAAAATACATTTTAAGCTACAGTTATTTTTTGTGATTATCTAAATCAAGTATTTAAATATGTATTTCTCAGACAAGCGAAAGATGTTATTAAAGGCATTAAAAATAAGCTTGGAAGCAAAAAATCTAAAGTTCAACTTCTTGTACTAACAGTAAGATCTTAATAACTTTTTATATTGATTTTTACTAATCCCTAGATATAAATCATCGCTTATGTTGTTGTCTTTATCAACTTTTTCTTACGAGTTGTAAATTTTATCTACTGACTATGATCTAGCTACTAGAGACTATCATAAAAAACTGTGGGGATATTGTCCATATGCGTGTTGAGAGAGGTATTCTACACGACATGGTCAGAATAGTCAAGAAAAAGGTATGAAGTACATAATTTTCAACTCTCATTTTCTATATTTTCTTCTAGCAAAACTTGTTCTCAGCTTTTGTACTGATCAACTGTAGCCGGATTTTATGTCAAAGAGAAGATACTGACTCTGATCGACACTTGGCAAGAAGCATTCGGAGGAGCAAGGGCAAGATATCCACAATATTTTGTTGCATACCAAGAGTTGTTGGTATGTCTGTTGATGGCTCTCATCTCTAAACGTAGAAAGACATGCTTTTTTGGGATTTTTTCCTCCTGTTATATATCCATGACTCGTCGTCTTAAAAAAATGCTGTTCTGCATGTACTACTTTTACATAATGTGGCCTTCTTCCCTTTTCTTCTATGAGCCAAACTGATTCATTGTTTCAGCGTGCTGGGTCCGTATTCCCTCCGAGATCTGAGAGGTCTTCACCTGTATTCACTCCTCCTCAAACAAAGCCGTTGTCTTCTTATCCCCACATTCAAAATTCTGATAGGCAAGAGATGACCGAGTCTTCTGAAGAGCCCGAGTTCCCAACACTGAGGTATTTATGTTGTTCCTCACTTATTTAAGTGGTAAAAGCATGTTGATTTTTTGTCTTTTCCGTTATTCCTATTTAGTTCTATCATGGCTTTTTTTTCTTTTTTAAACCTTCCTCGATGATGATTTCGTTGTAGAAATTGTGCTGCAGTAATCTGTTTAAGTGAAAGTCTCATAATAAATTCTTATTATCATTTATGTGGTAAATAAATTGCAAAGCCTTATTGAGTTATGATAAAGTGGGTTTTCATTAATAAGGATACTATTCCATTCTATTTGGTGCCTATGGCCAATACAAACTTTTTATTCACCCTTACTGGAGTTTGTTTTTTAGAGAGATCAAATGAGTTGGTGAAAATGTTCCTACTTGTTTTAATTTCTCAATTTTGGTCAGCAGTGCTCCCTGTACTTATCTGGTAATGTCACACCAATTATTAATCTTTACTCTAGAAATAGAGCAGTTAGAACTTTCCACGGACTAGAGCCATATAGAGTTGTAAAATGTGTACTACTATTTTTTTTTCACATTATTGATTGATCGCGACCTTATATTGCTAATTCACCATGTCCATATTGTTAGGAAAATAAACCGAGTACAAGTAATTTTCCTATAACCAGATTAGTGAGAATGCAAAATAAAAGCGGAAAAATAATACCCGAAAATTGATAACGGAGTTCAGCCAATTGTGCTTACGTCTCCGGGCTGCTGCAGATCTTTTACTAAGAGAGAAAATTTACAGGTGTTTACAAAACACTCACTACTCACAAGAAAGCTCTCTAGTATAGGAAGAAAGAAATGTTTTGGGATGATTTTGAAGCTAAATGGGTAAGGGTATTTATAGTAGAAACTTAGGGACTAATCTTTGAAAATACCCTAAAATGCAATGACTAAAGTGAATTTACCCATTCCTATTTTCAACAAACATCTACCAAAATTTTACCAAACTTTGAAAAACATTTTTCAAAGAAACATTTACCAAACTTTGAAAAAAAACATTTTCCAAAATTGGTTGCCAAACTTTGAAACTTTTAACACATATAAGTTTATCATTGATTATGCATCTAGTCTTCTTTTAACTGGAGTTTCATTTATTAGTTTGACAGAAATTCAGAAGGCGCGGGGCATTGTGGATGTCCTTGCAGAAATGCTAAATGCTTTAGTTCCTGGAAACAAGGAGGTACGTGACCTCAATTTGAAATAGAGAAAAGGAGGATATTTTGTTTAGCTGGTAAAACGATACTTCACATGAGCTTAATAGTGTAGTTTGCCCGCGACAAGTCACGAAGTGATTTTAAGTGACCACTGAAGTCTTGATATAACTGGCATTTGTGTCAGAATTTGGTTGTAAATGCTCAAATCTGTCAGTATGTGAGCCAATTTTTCAGTGTAAGCTTCATGTTTTTCCATCTCTATTTAAAGTGGCTACTCAAGTCTTGATATAGCTGACATTTTTGTAATGATTTGGTTGTAAATTCTCGAATCCATCAGTATGTGAGCTAGTTTTTGAATTTAAACTTCATGTTTTTCTAGCTCTTACCATTTAAAAAGCTGTTCAAAAGTACATGAAGTTTCACGCTGCCAAACCTTCTTTCAATCTTATAACGAATTTGTGTTTTCTTTTATGTTCATTTTCTATAAGCTTATTTAGTCTGCAATTTCAGGGTCTAAGGCAGGACGTTATTGTTGACTTAGTTGACCAGTGCCGTACTTACAAACTAAGAATTGTACACCTTGTTAATTCCACATCGTAAGGATCCTCTCTTTTACTATAACTTCTAATTTAAGACATATCACCTTTGATTCTTTATCTCTTGTAGGGATGAGTCACTTCTATGTCAAGGTTTAGCATTGAATGATGATTTGCAGCGAGTACTGGCAAAGCATGAAGAATTAGCTTCAGGAACTTCTTCTCAAGTAGACAAAACTAAGCATGAAGCTGCAAGAGAACTTGCAAATGTCAATGGTCCCCTACTCAATACTGGGAATAGCAGCAAGCAGTCTGATGGGAGGTAATTAGATTTATCTGAACTAGCTTCATATATGCAGGGATGTGATAACTAAAATATCGTTTTTTTTTTTGCATAACTACAGAAAATGATAGAATGATATATGCTAAACTATCCTTCTTGTCCTAAGCATTATTGATGCTAACTAATCATGTTCTTGTCCTCAGATGCTTGACTATGCTGAAGGAGAAAACCTTTTTCAGTATTCTTAGATCTAGTGATTAGTAGTGTATCTCTCTGTCAGGAGTAACTAAAATTTCTTAACCAATTTTAGGTTGCTGGATACACGTTGAAACTCATTTAATACAGGTTTATCTGAAACCCTTGAGCTAACTAACAGGATTTCTTAACAGATCTATCTCAAACACTGGTGCAAGTTCTAAACCATTCAATCAGTCATTGCTTCCTGCTTCTGCTCCTACTGCAACTAACGGTTCAACTCTTCCAGCAGCAGTTGGCTCCAAGATTGACCTGCTTAGTGGTGACGACTACAATTCACTAAATGCAGATACACTGGCCCTTGTTCCTTTGGGAGAACCACAACAAACAACTCCTGCATCACAGCAGAAAGCCCTTGTTCTCATTGATATGTTCTCTGATGGTAACAACTCTGATTCTGCTAGAGCCCAATCTTCAGGTTCGGCTATACAAACCAATCATTTGACTCCTCAAATTCAGCAGCAGCAGCAGCAACAACAACAACAAAGTTTTCATGCGAATGGAACTGTACCAAACACGGGATTGCCTCGATTTGAGCAGTCATATGCTCAAGGTACAGGTCCTGCCTGGAATGGACAGACGGTTCAGCAACAGCAGAATTTTTCTGCGAATGGAACCGTACCAAACATGGGATCACCTGGATATGAGCAGTCATATGCTCAAGGCACAGGTCCTTCCTGGAATGGACAGATGGTTCAGCAGCAGCAGAATTTTCATGCAAATGGAACTGTATTAAACATGGGATCGCCTCGCTATGAGCAGACATGTTCTCAAGGCACAAGTCCTGCCTGGAGTGGCCAGCTGGTTCAGCAGCACCCGCAGAATATTCATGTCAATGGAACTGTATCAAACATGGGATCACCTCGCTATGGGCAGACATGTGATCAAGGCACAAGTCCTGCCTGGAGTGGCCAGCTGGTTCAGCAGCAGCCGCATAATTTTCATGCAAATGGAACTGTATCAAACATAGGATCACCTCGATATGAGCAGTCCTATGCTCAAGGCACAACTCCTGCCTGGAATGGCCAGCTGGTTCAGCAGCAGAAGCCCCTCTCACCTATCTACGGTTTGTTTCTGTTTATAATAGTCTTTTTTCTGCTGAGACTAGCTTACCGTACTTCTGTTACAGAACCTTCTTGTTTTCAGGAAGTCACTTTTATAATAACAGCATGCCACATTTCACTCTAGGAAACCATTGATTTACATTGTCATGGTCTCACTCTCTCCAAATTCATGTAGATTATATCTAAGTCCGGTTAATATTTATATTATTGCTACTAATAATACTTTTTGCACGTTGAGAAGGTGCTCAGAGTAGTGGCTCACTGCCACCGCCACCATGGGAACCACAGCCAGCAGACCGTAGCCCTGTTGCAGGTTCTCAGTATCCCCAGTCAGTTTGTTACTCAAGTTGTCGTAACGCATAACCTACCTTTAGGACCTCAACATATGGGAAGTGATCATGTGGTGGGTATGTATATTCAGCCAATAACAAGCGGTAATTTATCAGCAATCAATAACCAAGCTGCTCCCGGAAACCAGTTTTCTTGTTTTCATCCCCAACCGAATCAGGGAGCACAGTATATGGGCATACCTCCACAACAAATGCCAACTAACCAGATGGCTTCAATGTATCCTCAACAAATGATGTATGGCAACCAAATGGGAGCATATAGCTATGGAGAGCTACAGTATATAGATCAGAAAACGGATGGGCTATCCATCAGAGATGACAGCAACAACTTGAGAAACTCATCCTACCAGGTTCCCACTTCATCTTATGTCCCACCAGGCAAGCCTTCAAAAGCAGAGGATAAGTTGTTGTTTGGAGACCTTGTTGACATGGCGAATATGAAATCAATAAACACCGCTCCTCGAAGAGCTTGGTAGCAATTTTTTTTTCCTTTCATTTTTCCGTTCTATATTATTTCTTTTGATAACTAATGTTTGTTTCTTATTTTTTTTTCTTTCCTATTCTTAAATAATATATATGTTCTTCACCAATCTCGACTTATTTGCGTTGGAATCACAACTAGATCTATAAATACATGAGAAAGATGTCAAATCCAATGAGACAGATTTGTTATTACATTAATGGATTCCCCACAAACAAAGGAACAACATTGGATACATGTCTGAGAAATTTTACAACGACAAAGGACACGTGTCTCGTTGTTGGGAGCATAAATTTGTTATAGACATTTTATGAATAGATAAAACACATAATGTACATGTCTGATCATCTCATTAATCCTTAAAAATGTGCAGCATAAAAACAAAAATCAAGTTGTCGTGTTGTCGTTGTGTCTGAATGTCTGTGATTGGGTGCAAGGGAACTGTCTCTCTCTTTATTCGAAGCTCTCAAGCAAGGCCATTGTAACGATTCCTTCAAAATCTTTTTCTTTTTGAACTCACCACTTTGACCCTTTATTTAAGGCAAAAGAAGATCTGTAAAAAGTTGACGCCTTTTCTTTTTCTTCTTTCGAACTAAAGCTCTGAGATCAAAGACGATGCGGGTCCTCTCTCTTCTGTAACTTCAGGGAAAAAAGATCGAATACCCATTTTCCATTGCGAGGTAATTCGGCTGCTCGTTTCAGTAAGATTGGAGTTTTGGCAAATTTTTGTTTGGAAATCTCATTGTTTGTTCGTCAACTCTGTTTCTGTAAATGGGATTAACTATGTTTGATTACTCTAGTTGCTTAAACAGTTCGTTGTTGATCAAGAACTTTGCTTTGGCTTCGATATATTTACAGGCATCATTAGGGTGACTGGGAAAATTGTATTTTTGAAAATGGGTTCACTAAGCCGAATGTATCTGGTAGGATTGATTTGACATTTGAAATAAGATATATTACTGCATGTGCTGTGGAGCAAGAAGCACATGTTGCATATTTTGATGCTATTGTTTTAAGATCTGTATTGGTAAAGAAAACGAGCATGTGATGAGTTTGGTTGCTGTCTTGTGGTGGTTTTTTAATTGATTTAAGAGTAAACCAGATTAGAAATTGATGGCATCCATTAGAAGAACACTGTCTCCAGTGCCTCGACAGGGGACTTCAATGACTAGGGGAAGCTGAACGTTCAGTTCCTTCTCCTTTGTCCAAGTCTTCATCATATAGTCGGAATTCTCGAACCTTACTTTTTCAGTTCTTGACATGCCAAAACAGAAAGGACAAGTTTGGAGGAAGGCTGTTTTTCAGTTCTTCATTTGTTTCGTATTTGGTTTTTTAATTGGATTTACACCATTCATTTCCATGAACCTTTCGTATATGAATCCCATTTCAAAGCACCAGGCATTCTATTTCAAGGTAGTATCGACTGTTGGGAATTTTCAAACACCCAACAGTTCGGAAAGGAATGCAACTCAATGTTGAACTACCCTGGGGTTGGCAGACTGGTGCAAAAAAAGGAAATAACAGAAGAGAATTTAGATAATGCCCCGACTAATTGATCGCTCCCCTCAAGATATTGATCTGGAAACTTATAAGCTTTTGATTGTTGTGACTCCAACACATGCTGGACCACTTCAAGCCTATTATCTAAATCGATTGGCATACACGTTAAAGCTGGTCCAACCTCCTCTCTTGTGGATAGTTGTGGAGATGACCTCACTGTCTGATGAAGCAGCCAACATCCTTAGAAGGAGCAGTGTAATGTATAGGCATCTTGTTTGAAAGAAAAACCTGACTGATATAAAAGACAGAAGCATTCACCAGAGAAACGTGGCACTATCTCACATTGAAACTCATCGTCTTGATGGAATTGTCTACTCCGCCGGTGAAGATAACATCTACTCACTTGATCTCTGAGCAAATGAGGCATATTTGGTATCTCCTTTGTATTTTTATTTTATGTCAAGTTGCATTCTTTGTACGATCCCTTCCACTAGTGCCTACTACAGCATTTTTTTCAACTTTATTTATAGGCGGTTTGGGACATGGAGTGTGGCCAAACAAACATCGGACAAAAGTACATGTATATTGGAGGACCCTGTTTGTAACGGACCTCAAGTCATTGGGTGGCACCTAAATGGATTAAGTCGGAGATTCCGAAGATTCCATGCTGAAATGTCGAGGTTTGCCTTCAACAGTACCATAATCTGGGATCCAAAGCGATGACACCGACCTACTCTTGAACCGATACAACAGATTGACACAGGCAAAGATGGTTTGCTCGTTAGAATTTATTAGCCCTTCTTTGGTTGTCACTAAGTTTCTTATATGGTCACCTTACTGCAGTGATCACAGCTGTTGTTATTTTTGGATAAATAACAGAGATGTTTCCATTTACTGCATCTGCCAACTAACTCAATTTTGGTTGTAAAAATGAGAGAGAAAGGCATGTTAGCAATTGATTTTGTCCTCCAAAAATTACCCCTTGAATTAATATTTTGCACTGTAACCCATATTAAAATGCTGCGTACTGCAACCTATATTGAAAATGCTAAATACCGGTGGCTGATTTCATTCCAATTTTTTAACATTATCGATTTGAATTTGCAGGCAAGCTCGTTTATTGAACAAGATGTGGAAGATGAAAGCCAGACGGAAGGCTTACCGCAGGACTGTTGGAGAATCATGGTTTGGGCGCTTCATGTTGAACAAACTAATCCCTTCTATCCCAAAAATTGGTCTATGAACAAAAATTTAGACATTATTGCTCCGCTTGCATGAAACTCAGTACGAGAAAGGAGTTAATTCTGATTGTCAAGGTAAGTGTCAGTTCTTTTCAAGTAACCAAAGTATATGCTAAAAAAGTTTTAGCTGTATGAACTCAAGCTCCGTGTATTCATCATTTAAGTAGAGAAGAAGAAACTACAGGAAAACAAAACAACATAATCAAAAACAAACTTTTAGCTGTATGACTTTTTCAAAGTTTTGCCTGCCGGGCTTATTCATCGAACAATGAATGCTGCGTTGGTGCATTGAGATTACCCACCTCCCGACAAGCAGACTTTGCTGGATTCAACCTATCATGGGGTTTAGAATTTTTAGCTACCAATTTCAATGATCTGATTCAAACTTTGTTTGCAATGATTTAAAAGCAGTATGTATAATACATACTTATTCAGTTCATGTCTAGAAAGTTTTATAACTTAGTTTAGATTTATTTATCTGATTTTTTTCACATTCTTTATTGTAGAAAAAGATGTCCAGGAATTGCATTTAACCGTCATCGAAGGAGATTCGTATCTAAACCGATACCCAAACCAAGTTGCAAATCCGTACCAATCATTGATGTAATTATCTTGTAGCTGAAAAGCCGAGAAATCTGCAAACAAGTGTAAACAGAACCCTTGTTGGGTATAATGTTTTCCATTTATTTGAGTTTGGTTGAGAGAATTTCACAGGACTAGTTAGGAAAGGATGGGCAAATGGACATCATCCTTGTGTAATTGTTGACTTAAGCTCTCATTCTTGTTTTAGCTAATATCTATTCTTTGAGGTGTAAAGCTGAAAGCAAAGTTGGTTATTTACTTCCTGTTTTAATCTGAACTCTTCTATTCATGTTAATAGAATTCTTACCAGTAATTTTGGCTATTAAGAATGCGAGTTTGACAGTTGACCACTTTGAATTATGAATTGCACATAGTCAATTAGCCACCATAACTCCTATACTTGTGGGATTTTGCTGAGAGCAAAATAAAATTTAGATAAATTAATTTAGAATTATCACCTCTGACAATCTGGTGTCGATATGTCCGAGAGGTTAAGGAGACAGACTCGAAATCTGTTGGGCATTGCCTGCGCAGGTTCGAATCCTGCTGTTGACGCTTTATGGTTATTTTATTATCCGTTGTTTTCGGTGGCACCTTCTTCAAATTGACCTTTTGTTTTCTTCACTGTCTCAACAAACGGACTTTCATTTTCCATTACCTTGCTTTATTTCTGAGGAGTTAAATGGTTCCAAACCCAGAGTTGATCTTTCATCGCCTGCGTTGGTTTTATATAAAATGGAGGTTTGAGAGTGGACCATTTTCAAATACTCTATTCCCATATTAATTAGCAATATGGGGAAAGATAACTGTCAGACCAGTATTCTAATTCAATGCTCCTGGAATAGCACAACTTCACATGGTTTGTTTCCAGCCGTGCACAAAAGCAACTTCTTGTCAGACCCTTATTCACTTCCAGGAAAAATATATCAACTTTCTGGCTCAAAATGTTGATACAAAAGAAAATATTAGTGGGATACAATACAACGTTTTAGTACAAATTAAAAAATAAAACTTTTACAGATAATTATCAGTACTTGTGCAAAAGATTAGTGTCCTTTAGGTAAGGGTGACCCCATTCAGCCCGGAGTAGCTGTAGTGCTTCATCTACTTTTCTATTTTGGATGACAAATCAAATATTCGGGCCATGCTTTGTATTTGCTTCTAGAAATATGTTCCCAGGCAGTGTTGGGTTATAACATGAAGGATAGGGATCGTTTATATCAAATTTTCATATAATTTAAATTTATTTTATATCTTTTACTAATTTTTTCTCTTAAAATTTTATAATTTTATTCTTTTAAAATTTTATAAATTTGATCCTTGTATAAAATCTTGCATCTGTTCGAAATACAAAAATGGGCGTGGAAGAGAGGGTCCTCGGCACTAGCTTTGGCCACTGATAATGGTGACAAAAGAGAACTCGGGTAATAATGATTTATGCCTACGCCGCTCAATAAAAAAAATGCTTTGGTCTCTTTATAATATGTAAAGCTGAAATACAGGAATCCGAGTAGAATAGCATATTTACAGATTCCCAATAAAGGAAAACCATGCATTTTCTATTCACTTCCAATTATAAATGCCAAACTGTTTCTTTATCTTCCTTGGCTTCTTCTAGCTGTGTTTGTTGGAATCCAAGTCTCAGCTTAAGTACTGAAGAAGTGGACAAGTTTAAAAGTAAGGATTTTACTATTATTTATTACTACAAAGTTTTCGTCTTTTTATAGAATGATTTGTTTTTGGTGTTAGTGAGTTCATGCTGTGTAAGAAGCTCGTCAATGAAGCTGGAAAATATAGATGAGAATGATCCTCCAAGGTGGTTACAGTTGTCTTGCTCTCTTCCTGAAACTCCTACAGAATCAATGGAGTATCTTGCCAGATCATGGAGCCTGTCAGCCATGGAAATCTCCAAAGCACTTTCCCAGACGCATATAGCAGCTTCCGATGCCATGTCATCATCGTCTTCTTCTGCTGGAAATATCGAAACAAATTATTCAAGCACCAGAAATATCGAAACAAATTATTCAAGCACCAATGCTTCAAGGCAATCCGTAAGAATCAAGGTTTAAGATTATTTATCCATTCTTTTTTCAAAGAATTGTATCTTGTTGTTCAATCCCATCGTGCTCTTCAATTTTCCCAACACTGTCATCATATATATATATACATACTTTCTCTTATAGTCTTTTATTGCCAATTTGAAGATCTACAGGAGCATTGAAAGAGGGAGAACTATGGGGAAACGGTTGAAGGACCAGAAAGGGAGGAAGAAGCAAGAGATTACAACACATAATGCACGACTTCATGCAGCCATGTCAGTGGCTGGAGTTGCAGCCGCCGTTGCGGCCTCTAAAGCGATGTTAGCGGAAATGGAAACCATGTCGTCTAAAGTATCGACTGCCATCGCATCGGCAGCCGCTCTCGTTGCTTCTCACAGCATTGAGATTGCAGAGGACATGGGAGCTGATCATGACCAAATGCTAACAGTGGTCAACTCTACAATGAACGCAATAACAAGTTGTGATATAATGACCCTAACAGCCGGAGCAGCCACAGGCTGTTCAAATTGTTTCTAAATTCTTTCATCCGAATCGAAAACAACATTAAGAGTCTAGAATACAAATTGATTTTGTAGGACAGTCGACTTAATTCTAATTACGAATTAATGCAGCCTTGCGAGGAGCTGCAGCCTTAAGGGCAAGGCTGCAAAAGACTGAAACTTTAGCTTTGGGTGAAGACGGCAATGGCCAGACAACAGCAGTGAACTTTGTTGCAACCGGGGGAGAACTACTCAAGCGCACAAGGAAAGGTACATTTTCCCGATTTCGATGTATCAAATCTTCAATCTTTATCATTCAGTAAGAAAATGTTAGCATTAATTTTATGTTGATTACAGGAGCTTTACATTGGAAGCAAGTTCCTTTCTATATAAACTCCAACTGTCAGGTATGAAATCCAAGTACTTGTGATCTGACTATATAGAATCATAATCTTTTACTGAAAACAGGTGGTTGTTAAACTGAAAAGCAAGCACATGGGAGGCACGTACACGAAAAAAAAGAAGTGTAAGCTAAGCCTCATGGGCCTCATACTCGAGATTAATCGATTCTCTTATCGACTTAAGCCTGCCGTGTTAACAGAGTTTACACCGTGCTTTCCAGGTGAGATCTTGGGAGTTCATGATGGCATCCCGGCATGGCCGAGAAGGGAGAAAGAAGACAATGCTGAAGAGAGAGCTTATTTTGGGATTAAAACTGCAGAGAGGGTAATAGAATTCGAGTGCAGGAGTAGAAGTGACAAACAGATGTGGACGAATGGGATTAGATATATGTTGGCTTATCGTAAAAATATGGCATATTTCTGAGACAGACTTGTTTGGATTGATGGAAAATGCTAGATTTTCATTTCTGTAAAGTAATCATGTTGAAATTGCATGTCTGATTCCTCAGTCACATAGCTGAGGGAGGTCATTGGAATGTTCCAGTTCTTGGTGTCAATTATATAAACCTGCATATTAATCCATGGAAATCAAGCAAAATGCAGATCAGATGAACCCCCTCTTTACATCTGTTTGACGTGCTGGAGAAATATTAGTATCCTGGTGGTGAACAAACGTGATAATCCAACCATCATCTTCCGCCTTCTTTAGGGACAAAGGCAGCTCTGCTGCAAAACGTGTTCTTCTCAAACATGTGATATTCTACTTTGATTGATCGTTCTACTTGCTTCCAACCCTATAGTTCCAGTTCTGGATAGTATATTTACCTATTAATAGTATGGAATTTGTTCATGGTTTAGATAGGAGGCGTGCATTAAGGCGCTTCACCTTTGTACACGTAGCTACAAAGCCCTTCTGCAGATAATAGCGGAAACAGCCTACTAAAGGTATTATTAGTTTATTTATTCTCGAATTTACATGTGATATAATTATAATCAGGGCAGAACCAGAATAAAATTAGAGGGTTAGAATAAATTTAATATGTTCATCGTTAATGATTAAATCTTTCTAATCTAACTAGGTAATTATAACATGTGAGAAAACGATCGTTAGCCGATGCTTTTATATTGCAGAGTCGATCATAGAGGATGAAAAAAATGATAAGAAAGTTCTGAGAGTTCTATCCCCCTTATCAGTTTTTGTTGAGAGTATTTGTAATTGTTTTTAGTGTGCATAGTTATCACGGCTATTTGTTAACAGGTTAGGTGCATTTGTTAGTTAACCTTTAGATTTCGTTCTCATGTGTCAGGTGTATGTCAAAAGTCTTGCCTACGTATTGTAGTTTACTAGAGGCTTATATTCAAGGGATTTAGGCTAGTCGGAGGCTCTAGTGAGACGAGAGATCTATCTAAAGATCTTGACCGGTGAAAAGCTGCCAATTTTAATAAGTTTAATCTAACAAAGCTTTGAAGTTTCCGAAGACCATCTCTAAAAGTATAATAAGATTTAACTTTAAAATTAATAGAATTTTGAAAAGTAATTTATTAAACTATAAAAATTAAGGATCAAAGATTATTTTTTTACTAATTTCAAAATTGATGGATACTAAAAAAATACGGTCACAATTTTTTTCACGAAATTGATATAATCTTAAAAATAATTAAACTAAAAATAAAATATAATTTTAATAATTTTGAAATTAGGTAGGGAATTAAAATAGAATTGAAGCATAAAATTCAGAAAGTTGTAATGGCCTGAACTTTACAATGAAGTCCTCGTGGCGTGGGTTGACTGGGTAATAGTTTAGACCCAAAATTGAGCAAAGTCTTGGGCCTTTAATATCTTTTGAACATCCAAAGAAAACAAACATGGAGCCTCGGAAACATGGGCTCATTAACGATGAAATTTGTGAAAAAAAGTAAAAAGAAAGGGTGTTTACTAGAATCTGGAAAGCCAAGATCAACACTTTAAAGAAGCACATGAGTTTCTTAATGACAGCCCACAGCGGCAGCTCGCAAAAGACAGAAAACTCAACCCATGAATTGAAAAAAAGAAACACTGACTGCAATTGATGATCATAAATGAAGAAAGATGTTGAAGGTCTCACGCTTGCCGTATTTATGATCAACGTTTAGGTTTTAAGCTCATACCCTCCATGTATGGGCTAACATGAATTCATAAACACCAGCTTGCAGCCAACCATGTGAATTTAACAGATATATGTTTGTTTGTTTCTGCACAAAATTTACTCAACGAATCGGTGCATGGAATTAACGAATCCAACGACCTATTAACTTCTAATCAACTCTGCATGCATGGGCAAATATGTAAATGCATGTGCCAAACAATCGCTACATGCTTCAGATGTAAGCTTTTCTTTTCTCACCCTTGAATACAAAAATATTCAAGTTTGGAATGTAAATTGAATTTACTGATTATGAACATAATTATTGACACTCGAAGGAGCCGATTAAAGAAATGGTTTTCTGATCGGAGGGTCCAAAGCACCAACTCACGGGGACGCCAATGGCTGCAAAATACCTGAGTTACGGACGAGATATCTTTTTGTCTTCTATACTGATGTTGGCCCAAAATTTAATATAACTGCGTAGGTAAATGCTGTTATTTCCTTGATGCAATTTGGCCCCCAGCCATTTCTTACCTCCTTCAGTTCATTTTAACCAATCTACTTGCTTACGTAAGATTGCAATGCTTTCACATTGATGATTGCTGTCTCAACATATATTTTATTTTAAAATTATTCAGACAACATAAGAAGATAAATACCATGGAGAAAAAAGCAAAACCCTAAACAAAAAAAGGGCTAAACGTACGTAAAATCAATGTCTGCGGTACAATATTATAACCCTGCTGATCATTAATAAAGAAAATCTCTGCGGATGTGACCTTGGGGAAAGTTGCAATGGAGAAATGGAGAGAGGGTGAAAACGGTAAGGAAACAAATAATGGAATTCGGTGCTGAAGAAGAAGAAGAAGAAGAAGAAGAAATTAATGGAGGTTGCGTGGTAGTAGAGAAAAGGACCCCATTGAACCATAGGGTGTAGCAGGGTGACCCATTTCTTTTGTGGGTCATTATAGGCTATTTCCTTTCTCTCTCAGTGTTTATAAGCGCTGTGACTCATTGGGAAATGTACAGCAACAAAGAAAAAAAAAAAGCTATGGTTTTTTATCTCAGAAAACATTAGCTCAAAATTACTCTCTCATCTCATGGCGTACGGCCCGACCCCCACCACCTTCCTTCTTCACTCTAATTTTTTGCTCTCCCTCTCTTTCTTATATTCGTCACTGTCACTTCAATTTACTCTGTTTTGGCTTGCCTGCCTGCTTATAGTTATACTGTCCTTTCCTCTGTACGTTTAAAGGGCGAGAATAGTTATAGTTTTAGTCGCCACTAAGAGGGGAATAATAAAAATGACTGAGCTGCAAAATACAGAAACAGAGTGTTGTTCCAACTCGTTTCGTTGGGATTCATCTCCTGGGTCAACTCATTCACCTCCTAACTCGGGCCCAAGCTCAACCACAACTCTAAATGGTCAACCCGAAACCACCACGGATTGTAGTAAAAAGATGAAGCGAATGAGGGGGGAATCAAGCGAGCAACCAGTTTACCGTGGCGTCCGAATGAGAACCTGGGGCAAATGGGTGTCCGAAATCCGTGAGCCGCGCAAAAAATCCCGCATTTGGCTCGGTACTTTCCGTACCCCGGAAATGGCCGCTCGCGCACACGACGTAGCCGCTTTGAGCATCAAAGGCGACACGGCGATTCTCAACTTCCCTGAACTCTCTAACTCATTACCTCGACCAGTGTCTTTAGCACCCCGTGACGTGCAAGCTGCGGCAGCCAAAGCTGCCCAAATGGGAAACTTGGACTCTCCATCACCATCCATCGCATCATCTTCGAATTCCTCATTGTCATCGTCGCCAGCCCTATCCTCTTTGGTTTCTCATCCGGACTTATCTTCAGGGTCGGACGAGTTGAGCGAGATAGTGCAGCTTCCGAGTCTAGGGGCAAGTTACGACTCGGTTGAGTTGGGGAATGAGTTCGTATTCATGGACTCAATGGACAGATGGGTTTATGCTTCACCTTGGCTTGAAAGCATGGAAGATTGCGAGTACGTTTGTAACCAGTTAGTAAATGGCTTGGAAGAGGGTTTGCTATGGGATTATTAATGTGCTTTTCGCGTTTCTGAATGTTAAGTGTGTTTACTTTTTCTTTGAAAGGGATAAAACTGTGTCATCTTCTTTCTCTCTGTTTAGGTTATCTCTTTCAATGAATCATAGTGTACAGAAGCTTGAAATCAACACTGGAAAATCCATGCTGCTGTTTTGATCAACTACAGTTTGAAACTGGGAATACAGAAATAACATAAAACAATTAATCATAAAAAAAGGGAAAGAAAGTGTTTTCAAATCAAACATATAGTAAAAACAGGGGCCTGCCAACGAATTCCCCCTTGTCAATTGTCATGAAGGATTGCTTTTGCCAGATGTCAGATAGGTCTTTTGAATATGATTTTTTTTGTTTCTTCATCACATTTTTATTTATTATTTACTCCGCCCAGTAAATATATTCTTTATTGTTTTTTTAAAATTTAAAATTTTTAAATTCTAATCATAACTATTTAAAAAAATTAAATTAAATTATTTTATAAAATATATATCTAAAAAATATTTGATTATGATTTTTAAAATATATATTCTTATTTATAATACTTTTTAAATAATAATGAGTCAAAATAGAACAAATTGACAGAAAAAAGAACTAAACTTAATGGGACAAAAAGAGTTTCTCATATAATTTTTGGCACATCATAACTTTTAAAAGTTTATAAAAATAATAATATTAATTAAAATAAGAATTTATCAATAAAAAATAATTTTAGAGCTAAACATATTTTGCGTTTAATGAAGTAATAATAAATCTTTGTAAATAAATTGTTGATTAGAACAATGACCAGTAATTCTTTTAATATTCATAATAAACTAGTAATAAAAAAAATATAAAATTTTATTGAAACCGCTTATCAAATGTAAAAAGAAATAAAAAATCAACTTGAGAAACAACAAATTCAATTATTATAATTAAGATTGCATAATAACAAACCTTTTAAATTTAAAAATAATTTATACATTTAATACTTAAATTATTATTTTTGTTTTATTTTAAAATTCAAATGAAATTTAAATTTAACGTTAAGAATAAATTTTTAAAAATAAACATTTAAATATTAAAATTAAACATAAATAATAGTTTAAATATGTTTACCCTTAAATTTATTGTATTGATTATTTAGAAAATAGTGCGGAAAGGAGTGGGTTTAAGCCAGACATGCCCCCGAATACTTTTCCTTTTCCTTAATATTGATATGTGATTTTTTAATTAATATTAAGTATAAAATAATATTTATTTAAATATACTTCTCAATCATTTAATATAAAATGTTTAGATCTTAACGTAGATTTCAAATAATAATAATTTTTTTTTGAGTAAATCACAATTATATATTATTTTTTAGTAAATCACACATTATCTTTTGGGATATGAGATTTTCTTATATAAGGAACTTATGCTTGCAATTTATTACAATTATTTTTGGGTAAATTACACATTTAGTATGCCATTTTTTATTATATTTTGATCACTTAACTATTATTTTTTGAAAATCATACACAATAAAAATATTAAGATATTCTCATTTCAATTTTAATTTTTTTATTATTAAGATTGAGTTCTTCAAAACCCTATAAAAAAAAGCAATTGTTAAAATCAAGGTACGGCTTTAAAGACGAAACCTACTTTATATCGTTCTGTTTAGAATATGCACAGCAGTATCGCGAACCCCCCTGGTTCTTACCCACCAAAAAAACCAAAGAAAAATAATCTGAAATGGAGTATGCTACCAAATTTCGTGCACGAAATATTTATGCTTTTAAATAAAATCCTTTCATTTTGATGAATAAGATGGGAAATTTCTGTCCATTTTCGTACCAGACAATTTAACTTTTCAAGACACCCAATAGAAATCTGAAATTAAAACCTTTTACTAGTCAATCTTCCTTCATCTTCTACGATCCAACAACAAATTTCCCATCTCTTTGCTCTCTCTCTCTCAATATATATATTTATATAAAAGTACGAATATAATATTTTATGTTAGAAGTATATTTTTAAAACTTTAAGAAAAATAAATTTTAAAATTTTTAAAAATAAAAAATAAATTATTAATTAAAAATATTAAAATAATCTAATATATATATAAATTTAAAACTTTCAAACATATAATTGTCTTTATCCACCCATTCGATCAACCCTACATACATGAATCTAACAAAAGTTCCCTATCTCTTTACTATAAATATCTCCACGTGCTCGATGGACAACAAAATCTTGAACCCCGCTTTCAATCTCTCTTACATTTACAGGAATGAGTCAGTGCCACGTGTGAAAATTGCTTTATGTTTAGTCCATACATTTTTGGTTAGAAAATAGACAGAATTTTAAATCATGGAATTAAATACCCATTATAGATCATATCATGTCAATATATTTCTACATTTAGAAGGGACTTTGATTATTTTTAAAAAAAAACTATAGGGAAAAATGTAGTGAATAATCTGCTATAATTACAAAAAAGTCAATTGTAATCAGTCAAATCCATCGCCTAATCATTCTCTTGGATCAGTATTATGGAAACAAATATAAGTGGGCTCCATTTCTTCACTAAACAACAGCCAGATCAACTTCAACCCACCTTTTTCTTCTTCTATATTTAATTTTAGCCGTTGAAGATTTTTCATTCACGTCGATGCTAGCCATATTATTTGGTGATTGTACAGAAATAATAATTGGATAAAATCAGTCAAGTAATTATGCAATTGATTTTTTAATATAAATTAGAAAAAAAAATTATTTTTGTTTTCTTAGGATCATGACCATAATCTAGAATCGGAAAGAATGGGGTATCTTCAATGGCAACTTGAGAGTATGATAATATTGGGGGGGGGGGGGTAGAAAGAGACAAATAATAGTGTATAATTAAATTATGAAAAAGGGTATGACTACACCAAAACTGATTATCTCTTGTTCCATATGTAATGGAATAATGGGAGGTAAGATAGTAGGTTGTCCCTAACATCAGGTTGAGAACAGTTTCCGTAGAAGACCTCCGAATTATGAAATATCCTTCGTAGGACTCGATCCCACGACCTTAAGATACGACTACACCAAAGAAGCGTTAATAACTGATTAGATTACTTCTAAACACTAAACGACCAAATATAACGAAAAAGTGAACTTTTTCAAAGAATTGCTTCTTGAGAAAGTGTGGAGGAGAATCATGACTAACGACACGCTTACTTTTATAAATAAGAGCATTTATTTGCACAAAAGAAAGTGTGGATAAAGCAAGAAATATGGGCTTTTTCATCGGCTTTTAGCCCTATTGATTCAATCTTAACATAGTTTTATTTTATTTAAGATTATTTAATAATCTATAAAAAAAGTTGCTGACATATGCAATAAAATTACTTAATATTCTATACAGAAGCAAGAGTTGGGCTTATTACAAAAGACTCTCATTCGTCTAAGGATTTTTTTTACTGTTTCTAGATTCATTGATTTAAAATTTTTTAAATAGATAAAATGTAATTTTAATTATTATTTTTAATATATAAAAGAATTGATAATATTAATGATGATAAATGGAAATTTTTATTTAAAACTAATAAATTTTAATTTTAAAAAATTTATCTGAAAAATTATAGATTATTTATTATTTTCAGTCTCGAAATCTTTTTAAACTCTGATTTTTTTTTGGTAACTAACTCTGAAAATTAATTTGAAAAACAATAAAGAACATGTCCTAATTCCAGCACACCCACCACTCTATTTTAATTTTATCTCTTTGGAATGCATTGCACTTGCACCCATCAATCCATTATACGTTATCCATATTTCATTTCTTTGGGTTCATCATTACATCGTCCACGTTAACTGCAATGTCATGGCTCGTTTATTTGATTGTAAAATCGATAAGATAATAAATAAATAAATAAATAAAATTGTAAAATACAAGTACATATATTTACATAGAAAAAACTATTACTCAGAAAAAGCATGCATAAAAAATTATATCAAAAATAAATTATAAGATAAATGATATAAATCACACTAATCATACATATTAATTCGCATAAAATTTATTCTTCTTTTCATATAATTTATAAAAATCTAGATACATATTTATAAATATATAAGCATAAAAGAATATTTTTTTTTGGTACATCAGAACGACTACACTTTGTAGTCTACCCGTGGACGTATGCTTGCAGAAGAGGGATAAGTTCCTATGGAGGATTTTCCAGAAAGTGCAACCATTCGTCTCTTTTGAGTGCCAGTTTTGCCATTCGGTCAGTACATCGATTTCCTTCTTTTCAGTTGTGTCTGATTTCAGTTATCCATCATTCATTTCTGATTTCTTCGTAATCTTTGAATATTACTTCCTTTTACAGGTCGTATGTTCCTTTCTTGTTCAATGCTCCGATGACCCAATTTGCATAGTCTTCGACTACCAAATCTCTCGCCCCTGCGATTTTGCGAGGAACATTCCTTGTTCAGAACTCTTTCTTTCTTTTTATATATAGAATAAAAGAAAAACTCTTAAAATATATTTCTATATTCATTAAATAAATGTAATGTAAACATTTTGAGTTGGACTAAACAGTATTTATAGTATAACATCTAACCCATTTGAATGTCCTAAAAGCATAGCCAGATATGTATACAAGTCCCGACTGTATAAAGAGCTGTGGATATGGTCCCCCCAATGAATTCGATTTTGTAGAGGGGGTAGGGGTTGGTGCTTCCCATTGTTTCTTTTCGGGGTTCACTTTGATTTTATATATTTAAGTATTTATTTTACTGGGAGAAAATAAAAGTTTTATGATGAATCTTGCCGGTCGGCTCCTTTTATCATTTCAACATACTACTATTATTGAAGATATAATTTACCACATGCAACTTGTCAAAATTATAGCCATTAATTGATGCATGCATCAAAGTCAAAAAATTGGAATGACATTGGGATCAGTTGGCAAATGTTAATTATTTCTTTAGATATTTTACGTATAACAAATTATGGACCGTCTAAATGTACAAATCAAAATCCCCCAAGCTTCTTTGATGCATTTTC